ACCGTTTCCTCGGCAATGGTGGACAAAATGGGGTCCCCCTCCAGGCCGTTTTTGATTTTGAGGGTCCCCTGGGCCCCGTCCTCCTCCTTGGAGCCCTCCCCCTCCTGGTGGCAGGCTCCAAACGGAAAGGAGTCCTCGTCGAGGAAATGGGCCCCCTGCGCCCCCTTGTTGTTGTCCCCCTCCCCGCCGTATTGGTAGTCCCCCTTGGCGCCCCCCGGGGCCTTGTCCCAGGGGATGGGGTCCCCAACCTTGAGCTCCTTCCCCTTCACCGAAAGGGTCCCCTTTTCCGGGGGGGGCAGAAGCCCCGCGTGGGCAATTTTGGAGTCCCCGTTTGTCCCTTGCAGCCCCAGGGAGTTGCTCGCGGAGGTGGTCGGAATCTCCTCGGCGGCCTTTGGGGGAGGCGGTTTTTTCCCCTGGGGGGGAGGGCCCCGCCCCCCCCCGGGAAATCCCCCATGCCGAGGGGAGCCCCCCCCCCCCCCCCCCCCCTCCCCCCTCCCGCCCCCTTTTCCCTTCCGCCGCACCGGCGTGATGTCAATCGTGACGGTCGCCGCCTCCGAGGCGCCGCCCTTCGAGTCGGAGACCTGGTACTCGAAGGTGGCTGCGGCGGTGCCGAAGAGGTCCGGGTAGGGCGTGAACCAGAGGCTCGCGCTGCTCAGCTTCGTCGGCCCGGTCAGCGGCGTCGCGCCCGACGGCGGCGCCTTTGCGCCCGCGTGGCCCGCGATGAGGAAGCCGTGCTCCGGCGCCGGCAGCTTGGTCACGGTGTACGAGAGCTTGGAGGCGCCGGTCGGGTTGTACTTTGCGTCGAAGGGGTCGGTCCCGTTGAGAGTGATCAGGAACGGCGTGTCCTCCACCGTCGTGAGCGCCAGCTCCCCCGCGAGCGGCGCCGAGTCGGCAAGCCACGCCGAGTACGAGTCCTGGACCTGCGCCGCGGTCAGCGCAGACGAGTGCATCGCGACTAGGAGGAGCTCGCCGTCCCAGCCGACCTTGGCGCCTTTGGTGTAGGGGACCGGCCCGAGGAGAAGCTTGTACGCGTCCGTCCACAGGTCGAACTGCGGCTGCAAGGCGTAGGTCGACACGTCCGACTGCTGAGCGCTGAGGGCGTCGATCAGCCCGGCGACCGGCTTGCCGTTGTGGTACACCTTGGCAGGCTTGCCGGTCTGGACGACGACCATGATCTGCACGGGCGGGCCGAGGTCGGCGGCGGTGGCGGTGAAGAAGTCGGAGCTTCCCGCGTGCACTTCCGGCCCGATCACGATGCAGTTGTACGAGTCGGCCCGAGACGAATAGGACGACGAGGCGAGCTGCACCTCGACCTTGTTGCCGCGCTGCATGAGCGCGACGCCAAAGAGGTCCTTGTCGCAGGGGCTCGAATCCTGGAAGGCGCCCTCCGTCCCGATCGCCAGGATCGGGAGGGAAGCGTCGCTCGACTGCGGCGCGGCGCGCACCCACACCTCGAGAGAGTATGCGCCGGACGAGGTGATGGCGGGGAGCGCGTCAGAGATGGTGCCGGCGGAGGCGGCCGCCGTGCCAGACCGCGCTCCGTCCATTCCCAGGCCCACGCCCTCGAGGCAGTGGCTCCCCGAACCAGCGACGGCGACCGCGCCCAAGCTGGCCGACTTCCCGCTGGACTTGCCAAAGCTGCCCGCGAGGCAGTCGGCGCGCGAGAAATCGTAAAGCGCCTGCAGCGACCCCGTCGGCCGAGTCTTCTTGCCCAGAGCCGCGGCGACAACCAGCGATAATATGACCACCGGCGTCAAGCGCCTTTGGCCGATAGGAAGCGACATCGAGGCGCTCGGGCCGCCCCGCGATCGACAGTCCGTTCGGCGGCCTTCCAAAAATAACGCGCTGATGCTCCTCAGCGGAGCTGGGAAGAGGACCGCCGCAAGCGGCGTGGCGTGGAGCGGTTGAGCATCCCTCCGGGGGCCCCTCTGCGCCGGGGAGGCGTTGTTGGAGGCTAGGACGCAAGCGTCCGTCGCCCTTTTCAAACTCGGGGCCCACTCCGCTACGCTCCGACCAGAATTTGGAGGGAGGGCCTAAAAGTTCAAGGTGTTGCTGCGCAAAAGGGGTCGGACACAGGGCGCAGCTCATGCTAAGAGCTAGAAGAAGAGCTAGAGAGAACGACTACCCTGTCCCGTTATTGCGTACACCAACACCACAAAAGCTCTCTCTCTCCTGTCCTCACTCAGGGGGGTCACAACTTCATTCAACTACCGAGTCCCTCGACTAGCTGCCACGTTGCCGGATCTCCTCCTGCTCCGCAAGGAGGGTGGCCAAGGCTAAAGTCTTGCCGAAACCGCCGGGCGCGTTGACGACTTGGAGAAGGTCGCCCTTGTACTTGTACTTGTAGAGATGCTCGAGGGGGTGCTTTGTGGGGCGGTGCGCAGCCAGGCCAGCAGTGAGGGGAGGCGCACCCTCACTCTCCTCGGTTGCAGAGCTCGTCGGAGGCTGCGGCACGACGGGAGGGTCGCGACAGCAGTCCTCGGGCGAGCCGACGCGCATGTCCAACCAGCGCTGGGACTCGTTGTGACGGCAGACGCCGGCTGCCTCTCCAACCGCTTCTGCAGCGTCCTTCTTTGCCCGGCGCATGGGCTCGATCCGATTCCGCAGCGTGTCGGTCCCCAGCGGCGGTGCTGCGCGGGAGGCGGCCGCGGGCACGCTGGGCTCGATCAGCTTTCCCTCAACAGTTGCTCCGAAAGCACGGATTTGGCGGACGTTCTTGGCTTCAATTTTACGGATGTCTTGCCAGCAGCTGAAGGCTTGCCCCCGTCCACGGCCCAGATCACGCAGTTCGTGCACGGTATTCGGATTTTGCTATTTGTTCGTGTGGGGGTATATTGCAGATTTGTCAATGGTACCGCGTCTGCGACGCGGGCGCCTTGCGGGCAGAGCCCTTAGCCACCCTTTATATCTTGCGCGGTCAAAAGTCCGCGCAAAATCACATCCGGTGCGAGGGTAATGTGATCGAAAGCACACCCGGCGCGAGGCACGGACGAGGCACTTCCGTAATGTGATTGAAATCACATCTGGCGCCAGGCACGTGTCTCGGACTGACTACCCGCAATGTTAAATCGCGAGTGCCTCTCTAGTCAAATCTCTAGTCAAATAGGGAGTGCCTCTCTAGAGAGGACTGGCGCCAACCGTCGGGCTCGTTGCGCAATGTGAGAGATCATTGGACTGACTACCCTCTACCGATCTCTCTGTCGATGTGTTTTCAGCCACACTAGAGCAGTCATCATAAGACCAGGTGTGTTTCCAATCAGGTGGGCGTTGAGGCACTCCGGCTTGGTCGCGGGGCTGCACAGGCGCACCCCGCAGGTGATGCAGGTGGCGCCTCTGGCGTTGCACGCCAGCACGCCGCAGCGGGCGCGCTTGTCCGCGGTGACGAGCTCGTGCGGGGCGCTGCGCGAGCCACGGAGGAGTGTGAGCGTCGCCTCCGCGAGCTCCCTTTGGACATGCTGGCGACCGGCGAACTCATCGCGTCGCGAAGCGACATGCCAAGAGTGGTGGTCTGCGGCTTCTTCTTCTTCGTCTTCTTCTTCTTCGGCTCATCAGGCGGCGAGCCGGACTCGCTCGCCGGCTGCGACGCCTGACTCGCCGCCTTGTCGGCCCTCCTTGCCCGTTTTGCAGCCTTGCGCTCCGCCTTGCTCTCGGCGGCAGCAGACGGGCTGCCTGAGGCGGCCGACGCCAACTGCGACGAGGGCGAGGCCGCGAGCGCCGTCGACCGCTCGCTGGCCGGCGTGGACATGTGCGAGTGCGCCGAGCTCGACGCACGCTTGCGGACGGAGGGGCAATCGCTTTTCCTCATCCATCATAGGTCGGGTCAAAGCCGCCCGCCAACTTTCGGAGGGACACAACAAATTGTTGCCGCAAACAAAAGAAAAGATTAACAACGAAGGCGCTCTCAAAAGAAAAGGGAAAACCCGAAGCCTTCCGAAGTGGACTCAAGGGTTAGGGTGGGCGACGGCTAGCACCACACTCCTCTCCTTAAAATCCCTGTGTGGTGGCGGCGTGCCGTCCTCCCATCCCTCCCTTGGGTGTCCGTTTTCTTTCTTTCTTTTTACATTCCCATACTCTGCTGACAGGGTTTGCGATGAGGAGCGACCCGAAGGGTTTCTCGGAGGTTAGTGCACCACTAACCGCCGAAGCGCAAGCGCTGGGAGCAAGAACACTGCGACGTAATTTTGCAACGGAAATTGTTGCCACAAACAAAATAAAAAGAAAAAACCGCATGCTTCCAAAAAACAATTCGAAAAAAACCGAAGTGGACTCAAGCCAACTGCCGATAGGTCGCTGGCCTGTGCGTCTCACCTCACCCGACCCCACACATGCTCTCGTCCGTGCCTCGCGGCACCGGCGAGTTTGCTAGAGGCGGAGCAGCAGCCTCCTGCTCTAGCGCGTTGCGTGCCCTGTCACCGTGTTCGAAAGAGAGACTCCCGTGTTCGTGTTGTTGTGCTTTTGTTTGTGCCCTTGGCACCTTCTCGGGTGCTGTGCCTGTGCGCTGTGGGGCGTGGGGGGCGACCGGGCTCCGGGGGGACGGACGTGGCCCCGAGTCAGTGATGGCCATTTACTGGTATAGCCCCCCAGAACAATCAAACACTCTACGGCCAAAACAATCAAATTGTGGTAAGATTTACCACGACTTCTGAGGCAAAATCTGACAAAAATCGGAGAAATCGGCAAAATGCCCGGTATTTTCCAGGTATACCCGCAAAATACCCGGTATTATATTATTGCCAATTTGGCTGAATTTGGCCGCAAACCAGCCTCTAGACTCGGCTCAGATCCCGAAAAATTGATGATTCCATGAGTTTCGTAATTTACCATACCACTCTCTGCTCATACCATACCCCACTCCCCAGGAGAATCAAATAAGTGGTAAATATATCACTCTTTTACCAGTAAATGGCCATCACTGCCCCGAGTGACGTAGTGCCGTGTAACGCTCACGACGTACATGTACATGTAGTGCCGTGTAACGCTCACGTGTGGCCTCGCGGCCGCCTGGCTCGCTTTTTTTTCTTTTTTTCCTTCCAGATGACTGCACAGACGGATCAGGTCACTCAGCCGGCCTCTTGCCGGGCGCCGCAACGACCGTGTGCATCGCCCGCCCCTGTGCCAAGCACAGCAGTTGTATTCCGCAGAAGCCGAGCATGCACAGCCCCACGGCGGGAAAGATGACCTTGCAACGGTGGGTGGGGGTGCGTCGATCACATCACCCCCAAAAGGGGTCTCGGCGCCGATTCCGGCTGCTGCGCACCAGCCCCGGGAAGAAGGTGGCGACAAACTACCATGAGAGGGCGGGCCCGAGAGGAAAGGTGCCAGCCGGCGCTCGACGCGTCACCCACTGCCTGCGCCAGCAGTGCGAGGTCAGAATTGCGGCGGCGGTGGAGGCTGATCCTCGGTGCAGGATGCGCCATGCCGCGAGCCCGCTGACGCCGCCAATCACCAAGTTGGCGACGGCGCTGGCCGCCAGCAGGAGGATGAAGATCTTGCGGTTTCCACTCGCTATGCACGTCCCCAGAGCCCCACAGTGGTGGTCAAAGTCTCGCGTACAGACATCGCAGGTTCGGCAGTGATGGCTGCCCGGCGGCCGGCGAATGTGGCACACCTCACAAGCGGACCAGCTGGGCAGCGGCCGCCGCGCCACTTGCATCACTCTGCCCTCGTCCAGCCCCAGGACAAGACACAAGGTCGCAAAGGCAATGAGGCCGCTAGGGTTGGCAACCTGTGGGTGGCAGATGGCAGGTCACACGCCTCCTTCTCTGCCTGCCGAGCACCCTCCCTCCCTCCTCCCCCCCAACGCCTATCCCCCTATCCCCCTGGTCATGCATATCTGATGATTTCGGACCCGCTCGACGAGCGCCACCGCCCCGCCGTGCCTACAGAGAGGGCAATGCCGGTCAGCGCAGGTCAGCCTGTGCCTGCCTGCTACCGCCGAGGTTGCCGCCTCCCTCTTGTGGCCCGTCTCGTCTTGTGCGTCTGTGTGTTCAGCATCTAGGCCACGGCAGCGATGTGCGGAGCTCAGGCATCACGAGGGCGTACGTGTACGTGGTTGCTGCCACCATGAGTCCAAAGGACGTTCCACCGCCCAAGATGCGTTGCACGCGTCTGACGGGAAGTGGTGAAGGAGTTGCTACCATTGGATCGTGAGGCTCGAGCCGGGGCGGCGGGCTGCGGCGCGCGAGGGGAAGCCGATGGTGACGAGGTCGAAACTCGAATGCAACTCTCCACAGCCGCTCCGAAGGCAGGCAAGGGCAGTTCCCAATCGCGTGTTCTCAACAACACGGAGGGAGGACACAGGCCGTGCGGCGGAACTTGAAAACTGAGATCGTAGATTTCCGACTTTTGCGGGGTGAGGTATCGGCCGGTTATACAGATCCTCCCTGATGTACTGCAGAGCCCGGCCGGCCGAGCGAACGAGCTGATGGCGGTTTGCACCCGCCCGCTCCAAAGCTATCGCCAAAGCTATCGGGATTTCGGGATATATATTCGATCGATCGAGGATAAGCAGTGACTGGGGGCACCAGACGTGTGTCCTGCCCCCCCCCCCCCCTTGTGCTTGGCTTTCCGGGCTCCAAGCCGTCTAGGAAGGAATTCCATGTTGGGAGAATTCCTTCCTAGCAGCTTAGTGTGGGGGTGTAGTTCGCGCTGATAGTTCGCGCATATCTGGGTGGTTGTTTCTTTCTTTTTGTAGTTCGACTAGGTTTGTGGGTGCTCCTGCAACTGCCGCAGCCCTCCGCGTCGCGTTTCCGCCACCCTTTGACCGAGCGCGAGGCCGTGCGCTAGGCAGGCGTGCAGCTACAGGTGCGCGGCGGCGCGCGGCGCACCACCGCCGCGCGCTCTCACTCCTCATCCCGGCCAGCTCTCCCCTCTTTCCGTCCCGCAGCTCCCCCCTCACCTCGCGATATCTCCCTCCCTCCCTCCCTCCCTCCCTCTCGACGATAGGGCGGGACAGCTGTGGCGACTGCCAACTTCCTCCATCGCCGGTGTGAACCCCATCCCCAGGGCCTCCAGGGCTCGCACCTCAACCTCTCACAGACCATCGACACAGACCAGCGCATAGCGCCATACGAGAAGACGATTTTCTTCTCCTACAAGGCTGTGAAGGCCCTCGCCGCGAAGCAGCTCGCCAAGGCCGAGGAGACGCAACCGCCTCGACGGCAATGCCCCAAACATCGCCACCGCCACCGCCACCGCCGCCACCACCGCCGCCGCCGCCGCCACCACCGCCGCCGCCGCCGCCACCACCGCCGCCGCCACCACCGCCGCCAGCACCTTCACAGCCGACGGCCAGCCACGCCTCCCTCCTCGACGCTGCCGCTGGGAAGCTCAAGCCGACGGTAACTAGAATACGAGAGCGAGGCGGGCAGATCCGAGCTGAGATTGTGCACGAGCGGAATTTGGCGCTGCTCTCGACTGACGCCATTGCTCTCGACGACCCGGGAGCACCCACAAAAACGCGGCCGACTGCACAGCAGCGGATGGAACGCGCGAGAACCAAGCCCGACCTGATCGCCGCGAATCGCCGGTGGACCGCCAGCCTCAGCAGCATGCCCGACGCCGACCGGCAGCGTGTGGCTGGATTTGCAGAGCCGCTCACCAGCGAAGTTGCTGATGGCGCTCTGGCATCCGCAGACGCCTTTGAGGGGGTCCCCACCCTGACGGTCGCCTCCGCGCTGCACGCGTTGCTCCGCCAGCCGTCCCTTCCGCCGTTCCTGTGCGTATGGGCCACGGCGGAGTGGTGCGTGCCCTGCAAGCGGCTCGAACCGGGTTGGCGCGGCCTCGCCGAGCCAGACGGGGAGAGCCATGAGCGCCTCGCTGGCAGAGTGGCGTTTGCCGTCGCCGACCTGACGGATGAGGCGGCCGAGTCGGCTTGCGACGGCTCGACGCTGTCCGAGGCGCTGCGCATCCAGACGCTGCCCACGTTTGTGCTCTTTGACACGTCGACTGGGGCTGAGGTGGCACGGGCGGAGGGCGCCGCGCACAAGCGCCCGGCGCGGAGACTCTACGAGATGCTCCAAAGGACAGTGGGGTAATCAGTGGCGGTTATATGCCTGAAACAGAGAGAATATATGTGTCTGCTATAGTTCCTTTTTCATTGCAATACTCTCAAGAGGTCACGCTGGAGCTAGGCTGTCCCAAAGCCCGGAATGCCGCCGCCCATGCTCGGGTGCGCGATCGCGAGTGCCTTGTACGCCGAGCCCATGCCGGGGCTCTCGACCAGCCGCGTTGCCCCGTCAAACAAGGCCTGGCGAACCTCGTCGCTCGGGGCCGCGCGCAGGAGCGCGTTGACCCGCGCCTCGAGCCCCATCGCCGCGAGGAAGTGGCGCTGCTCGACCAGGGGCGGGCAGACGAGCGCGGCGTCGGTGGCGGTGGCGGCGGCGCGCACCGCCCGAAAGTCGACGTCGACCGACAGGTCCGCCTCGCCGGGCGCGTGCAGCGGGTGGACGAAGCGGTGGCCGCGGATGCCGCGGAGCGAGTCGCTCGGCGGCGCGTCGGAGCCGTAGTCGATGAGCAGCGCGGCGCCGCCGGCCGCGGCGAGGTGGCTGCTCAGCCCCTGCACGAAGGAGAGCGCCGCCGGCGACACCTCTGCGGCGTCTGCGTGCGCCGGCAGCTCCTGCGGCGGGGCCGGCGGGCAGCCTCTCGGGCGGGGAGGGGTGGCGGCGGGAGGGCGGACGCGGCGGCGCCGCCTTGGTCAGCAGGGTCGAGGCGGGGGTGGGCGACGGCGAGAGGACAAAATCGAGGTGTCGCGGGTCGGCGTCCAAGTCCGCCTCGCCGCCCGCCTCGCCGCCGCCCTCCCCTCCCGCCTCGCCGCCCGCCTCGCCGCCGCCCTCCCCTCCCGCCTCGCCGCCCGCCTCGCCGCCGCCCTCGCCGCCCGCCCGCAGGTCGACCAGCTTTTCGCGCCAGCCGACCCGAGTCCTCACAAACTGGTGCACGGGCAGCGCGTCGAGGAACTCGTGCGCGACCAGCAGGACGGGCTCCTGCGGCAACTCCGAGACGGCGGCGTGCCAGTGCAGCTGCCCGGCCGCCACGAGGGGCTCGAGAGCGCTGCGCTGCGACGCGCGGTTGAAGGGCGACACCTCGAGCAGGTGCACGCCGCACACCGCCTCGCGGAAGGCGGGGAAGGCGGCGGACGCGCGCAGCAGGTCCGCCATCAGGGTGCCCCGGCCGGGCCCCGCCTCGGCCAGCCGCACCCGCGCGGGCCTGCCCAGCGCCTCCCACGCCGCGACGCACCACACCCCGACCAGCTCGCCAAAGGCCTGGCAGACCTCGGGCGACGTGGTGAAGTCGCCCGCGCGCCCAAAGGCGTCGCGCCGCATGTAGTAGCCGTGCTCCGGGTGCGTGAGCGCGAGGCCCATGTACTCGGCGACCGTGAGCGGGCCGCGGAAGCGGATGCGGCTCGCGAGCTCCCGCAGGAGGCCAGCGTGCTGGTGGTGGTGGTGCGGGCCGGCGCGCCGGCCGAGCAGGCCTGACGTGTCGACCGCCACGGTGGTGCACCGCCCGCGACTCCCCGCCCGGCGCGTGTGCCGAAGGGCGCTGCGCACGAACCGCGACATATACAAGTGTACGAGCGATATGCTGGCACGCGAGCCGCCAGTCGGTGAAGGCAGATGGTGAAGGCACAAGATGGCGCCAAGATACATGTAAACCGAGGACAAAAAGAAACCCAGGCAAAAAAGAAAAAAAAACCAGCGCTGTCGTGGCGTTATCGGTGTGCTAAAGCTGCGTGTCTACTGCTGGCTGCGTGAAAAGATGCTGGCGTCGGCCCTCTCGCTGCTCTCCGGCGGCGGCGCCAGCGCAGCGCAGCAGGCCCGGTACCACAAGAACGCGTTTCCTCCTGGCGAGCGCCTCGACCTGCGCGTCTACCTCTCCGAGCGGCCGAGGTTTCGCGACTTCAACAACACTGAGCCGATCTGGCACGTGTCTGGGCTGCTGCACGCGAATGACGCGCCGCAGCAGAGCACGACGGTGCAGGTGCCGGTGACGGGGCATCTCATCGCCAACGGCTCGCTCTTTGCACACGCCTTCATCACGCGCGAGGGCCGCTCGCCCGACCCGGCCGCGACCGGCTCCTACGACCCGTGGGCGACGACGACGCTGACGCAGGCGCTCGTCGTGCACGGCGCTCGGCCCGAGCCGCTCGGGCTGCGCAAGCTCACCACCGGCGAACCCGCGCCGTGGGAGGAGGAGCTGCGTCGCGGCGCGGTGGCCGCCGCCATCGCCGGCCAGCCGCCGGACAGGTGGGTTCCGCACTGGAAGCCGGCGCTGCACTTGTCGCTGATCGTCGACTTTGAGCCGCACGAGCTGTTTCGCGGGATGCCTCCGCACTACCAGCACCACCTGCTGCAGCGCCGGCTGATGGACCGAGATGGCACGTACAAGCCGCTGCTCTACTCGAACGAGCTGACGGTGATGCGGCAGCACTGGCTCGCGATCAACGACTCCGCTGTCTCGCCGACGGAGCTGCCGCTCGAGCTCTCGTGGAGCCCGATGGGCGTGAAGCGCTTCGCGTGGATGCAGCAGCTCGAGGCCTCCTTCAAGATGAACGAGGACAAGCTCGGCGCGCGGCGGACATGGGTTAACCCCGCCTGGCCCGACAGCCCGCGCGCTGAGGCCTTCCGCGCTGCACACAGGCATCAGCGAGAAGGAGTCGGAGGACATGCGCGGGATGTTCGTGCACACGCCGCCCGCGCTGCTCTACACGACGATGGGCGTCTCAGCCGTCCACCTCCTCTTCGACGTCCTTTTCAGAGCGACCTCTCCTTGACACGTCCACGACACATCCTCGACATGTCCCTGACCTGTCCCACAGGTCCTCGCCTTCCAGAGCGACCTCTCCTTTTGGCGCGGCATGGAGACGATGGAAGGCGAGACACCAGCCAGAAGCCGAGACATAGCCGAGAGGGCGACATAGCCGAGAGGGCGCCCTGGGAGGCAGCCGAGGTATGGCGGCGGGAGGCGGTGCGAGGGCGGGGCCTCGTACCGACGCGCGGGGCGGCCCCGCACAGGCCTCTCCTCGCGCGCGCTCCTCCTCAACCAGGCGATGGAGCTGGTGGTGCTCCTCTACCTCATTGAGGAGGGCTCGTCCTGGCTCGTCCAGGACACCGTAGTGGTAGTGGTAGTCGTAGTCCAGTAGGCAACCTTAATTCGCCCAAGGACACCGCCCCCGCCCGGCGGAGCGCGCGGCGTCACTCGCGCGCTCACCCGCCACCTCGCCCGCCCAGGTCGGCTCGGCCTTCACCCTCATCCTGGGCTTCTTCAAGATCATCAAGTCGGTCCAGGTGCGCAAGGAGGACAAGGAGCGCACAGGCAAAACAGCCGCCTCGCCGCCGGCTCCCGCCGAGAGCTCCTCCTCAGCGCGCCTGCTCTGGCGGCAGGCGGCGTCGAGTCGCTCACGGAGAAGTACGACCGCCTCGCCTTCCGGTACCTGCTGCTTCCGCTGCTGCTGCTGGTGGCCGGCTACTCTGTCTACTGCCTCTTGACGTGGTACTACCGCTCTTGGTACTCGTGGCTGCTCGAGTCGCTCGTCGCCCTCGTCTACGGTGAGGGCGGCTCTCGACCGCACCCCGCCGCGAGCGTGCCGCGCGACGCGCCTCCCCTCCCCTCCTCTGCGGCGCAGGCTGCGGCTTCATCGTGATGACGCCGCAGCTCTTCATCAACTGGCGGCTCAAGAGCGTCGCCCACCTGCCGTGGAAGTTCTTCATGTACAAGGCGATGAACACCTTCATCGACGACCTCTTCGCCTTCATCATCAAGATGCCCACGCTGCACCGCATGTCCTGCTTCCGCGACGACATCGTCTTCGCCATCTTCATGTACCAGCGGTATGTCTACAAGGTCGACCTGACGCGCGTCAACGAGTACGGAACGCGCGGCGACGGCGTGCCAAACGGCGACGGTGCGCAAGACGGCGACGGCGGAGGCGACCCGTCAAAGTCCAAGCGGATCAAAAAGCGATCCAAGAAGACGGACTGATGCATTGTGCGGCCGAGAGGGTGGAAACGGGCAGCGGAAACTCGAGAAGGCCCTGAGGTGGGTGATATGCCGTTCGATGTGTTCCGCGGGTGCCCGATTCGTTTCCGATTCGTGTCCTGTCCCCCTGACGGAATCTTTTTGCGCACCCGCCTTCTTACACACATATCTCTGCACGGCGAGTTTTTCGGAGTACGGAGAACTCCGCAAAAGTCCGCGAAGAGGGCCGAGGCCGCGAATCGCATGGCTAGTGCCATTTCACTGTGGCACAGATCGCGTTACAAAATCTTGATTTGACCACTAGACTTAGGCCCTTGAAGGGCCCCGCCCCCAATGGGGGCGGGGTTGAATGGGCTAGCGTTTGCGTGGCGTTGACATGAGCACGAAGTTGCTAATGTGGGTAGACGAACAAAAAGTAGGGTTGAATTCGTCCACGTAAGGCTTGGGGAGTGCTTGGGGTGGCCTCAGGCATCCCCAATGGAGTCGCAGCGGTGCCCCAAAAGCAGCTTTTAGCGATTGTCGAACCTCGAAGCCTGTTCGTTTGAAGAAAGGCACACGGTAGAGCCGTACTATCGGGCCACCGGTGTCGGGTCACCAGTACTAAACAAAAATTCGACAGTTTGAGGGGTGAGAGCATGCAGTATTGTGGCATATCATGTCACATAAGGTCAAGCTTGACCGCAGAAGCATCAAGAAGCGGATACTCCAGCTCGACTGTGCCGGCAACGCTGCCTCCTCACGCCGAACGCGAGCAGCAGATGGCCAAAGTGTGCCAGCGCGAGAGCCTCGCAAGCGGGCGCAGAAGAAGCTCGCCGTGACACGATGCCGGGCGGTGGTGGTGCTCTGGCGGCTGTGCACAGTGGGAAACGTCAGGCTGCAACAGGGCAGCACGATGGTCGTGCCCCGCTGCAGCCTGGCCTGACATGCACAGGGCGAACAGAGACCTTGCTATCGCCTGGCGCTCGTCTGGGCAAACTTTGACCGCCGCCCGGCTCGCAACGAGCACGCAGCGACAAAATGATGACCGTGTCGAAGTTGAGGCTGGTCGAGAGGAAGAGGCTGCCGTGCGAGCCGGCAATTGGCTGGCTCGGCGTGGACAGCCGGCGGCGACTTTTTGCCGAAGAGCGTGCCTGCCGAAGAGCGAGTCTGACTCAAAGTGCACGGAGTGGGCGCCGCCGACCGTCGGGAGGAGTCCGATGGGTGCCAGGACGATCCAGAGAGCGATGAAGGCGCAAATTGCGCCGCCGAAAGTGGCGGTAGAGGCCAGGCCGTGCGCGTGGGCCGGTCGGGCCACGTCCCGGGGCGAGCGATCGAGGGCCGCGGGGCTTGCCCCGTCGGCCGAGCGGTGCGAACGGCCGGTCGCCCGCTTCGGGTTGGACCCGCCGGGCGGTCCGGCGGCGGATTGCATGGCCGGGCGGGCCTCCGGGAGGCAGGCGGGGCCGTGACAGGGGCAGGGCAGAAAATCCCATTCGGAGAGCGTGTGGCGCGACCCGGTTGCTACTTTCAATGATAGGGACTAGAGTGAGGCCCTTGACGGGCCCCGCCCCCAATGGGGCGGGGTTGAATGGGCTAGCGCTGGCGTGGCATTGACATGAGCACAAAGTTGCTAATGTGCGTAGACGAACAAACAAAGAGTAGGGTTGAAATCGTCCACGCAAGGCTTGGGGAGTGCTTGGGGTGGCCTCAGGCATCCCCAAGGGAGTCGCAGCGGTGCCCCATAAGCAGCTTAGCGATTGTCGAACCTCGAAGCGCGTTCGTTTGAAGAAAGGCACACGGTACTATCGGGCCACCGGAGAGTCACCGGTAAACTTCGACACTTTGAGGGGTGAGAGCATGCATTATTGTGGCATATCATGTCACATAAGGTCGAGCTTGACCGCAGAAGCATCAAGAAGCGGATACTCCAGCTCGACTGTGCCGGCAAACTGCCTCCGCTCACGCCGCGGGCCGGCTGCCAGCAGCCGTCGCGGCCCGTGGCGTGCTCCAGAGAGGGAGAGAGGGTCCGCATGGCTCAGGCCGGCCAGAAGGTGTGTGGCGACGGCACCGTGGCAGGAGTGCGGAGAAGAGCTCGCCGAACGCGAGCAGCGGAAGGCCGAAGTGTGCCAGCGCGAGAGCCTCGCGAACGGGTGCAGAAGGAGCTCGCCGTGACACGATGCCGGGCGGTGGTGGTGCTCTGGCGGCTGTGCACAGTGGGAAAGGTCAGGCTGCAACAGCGTAGCACGATGGTAGTGCCCCGCTGCAGCCTGGCCTGACATGCACAGGGCGAACAGAGACCTTGCTATCGCCTGGCGCTTGTCTGGGCAAACTTTGACCGCCGCCCGGCTCGCCACGAGCACGCAGCGACAAAATGATGACCGTGTCGAAGTTGAGGCTGGTCGAGAGGAAGAGGCTGCCGTGCGAGCCGGCAACTGGCTGGCTCGGCGTGAACGGCCGGCGGCGACTTTTTGCCGAAGAGCGTGCCTGCCGAAGAGCGAGTCTGACTCAAAGTGCACGGAGTGGGTGCCGCCGACCGTCGGGAAGAGTCCGATGGGTGCCAGGAGGATCCAGAGAGCGATGAAGGCGCAAATTGCGCCGCCGAAAGCGGCGGTAGAGGCCAGGACGTGCGCGTGGGCCGGTCGGGCCACGTCCCGGGGCGAGCGATCGAGGGCCGCGGGGCTCGCCCCGCCGGCCGAGCGGTGCGAACGGCCGGTCGCCCGCTTCGGGTTGGACCCGCCGGGCGGTCCGGCGGCGGATGGCACGGCCGGGCGGGCCCCGGGAGGCAGGCGGGGCCGCGACAGGCGGCAGGGCAGAAAATCCCATTCGGAGAGTGGTTGGACAGACCCGGTTGCTACTTTCAATGATAGGGACAGAGTGAGGCCCTTGACGGCCCCGCCCCCAATGGGGCGGGGTTGAATGGGCTAGCGCTGGCGTGGCGTTGACATGAGCACAAAGTTGCTAATGTGCGTAGACGAACAAACACAGAGTAGGGTTGAAATCGTCCACGTAAGGCTTAGGGAGTGCTTGGGGTGGCCTCAGGCATCCCCAAGGGAGTCGCAGCGGTGCCCCATAAGCAGCTTAGCGATTGTCGAACCTCGAAGCGCGTTCGTTTGAAGAAAGGCACACGGTACTATCGGGCCACCGGAGAGTCACCGGTAAACTTCGACACTTAGAGGGGTGAGAGCATGCATTATTGTGGCATATCATGTCACATAAGGTCGAGCTTGACCGCAGAAGCATCAAGAAGC